CCCCCCCCCCCTTTGCCAACAGCAATATTCAGTTAATTAACAGTGAAGAGACTGCAACCTGTATTACTACATTTTTGTCCTTATTCGGTCAACTTTTGAAAAACAATAATTAATTTCTCTTTCTCTGTGTCCATTTATTTTCACGTACCTTTCTTAATCAGACCCATTGTTTCTGTCATCTTTTTCTCTTTGTTTCAGTCTTCTCTCTCACTATATAGTGAAGAAAAATAAAGCCTTTCTGGAGATGAATCGAGCACTGGTCTCCCGCATGACAGGCGGGGAAACTTACCACAGTACCACTGATGACACACTTCATTTTCTAGGAAGTAATATCATTATTAGATACATGAAAAAAAAAATTCCACACAAATCTCATCTTGTGCACGCCATGACTACGTACCTCTAACTGTAGCCATGACACGTTCAGCAAACAAGGTGGGGGAGGACGCGTAGAATCTATTGTTCCCTTATTCATTTCACAGGATGCCATCCCAGGCAAAAGCATTCAGGACCTGAGTCCTTAGTTTTACGAAATGAAGCATAATAAAATAGTACGAAATTGCATTATATATAGAACTATTTTTGGAGGATTGGAGAGGGGGGGGGGGAGTTGAGCTTTTAATGATGTTTATGAATTAAATGCCTTTAATTTTAAGAATAACGACATGAGCTATAAAACATACATAACAACAAAAAGAAGCAGAAGCCATGAAACAAACACAGATGTGCTCCGGTTTCTTAACCTTTGAAAAATGCTTTTTATAAAACATGTACGCCCCCCCCCCCCCCTACCCCAAATCACCCTCAATGCGTACCAAGGGCCATCACTCGGTGGACGCGACAGTTTGGGTCGCTGTTATAGATCCGTCTCTCTTTAGCTACAAAGTAAGTAATTTCTTGCGACACTGGGTAAAACGGTTTTTCTTGGAACCGTTTTACGGTTAGCCTAATTGCACAGTAATTTTCCCGCGGTGTAGACAAATCCGGAATGTTTTAGGGACGAGGTGGGGGTGGGGGGTGTCATGCTCTTTTGAG